CTGCGTGTTGAGACTCAGGAGGGTTGTCCTGGCGCGTCGCCCAGGACAACGGGGAGCTGGGATGGCGCCTGCCCCGCACACCCGCTCAGCTCACGCGTGGAGCTGGCAGCCTGGCGATCTGCTTCTGAGGCCGCATCAACACATTTCAGTGGCCGTGGGCTTCCCGAATCCTTGCCTTCCTTCTCGAATCTGTTTCTGCAGCAGACGCCGCCCATCTGGGAACCCGGTTTGCAGATACCCTGGCGCGTACTCATCTCATCCTGAGAACGGCCCTCGTATCTATTTTTAGCCCAGCTTTATCTGCTGCCGCGCTTACCCCCAGGCCCTTCTTTGTGCTCCACAGCTTTCCAAGTTCAAAGACCCACCTTCAGACATTTTTTCTGAAGGCAGAAGATCCTTGTTAAAAGACCCTCTGCGTCCTTTGAGTATTTGAACTTGGGGACATGCACACCCAAACCCTCTGCCGAGCCGTGGCTCAGGACACGTGGGGCTCGAAAGGGGGAACGTGGCTGGTGTTAGGGAGGGTCCCAGGTCCTGGGGGTCAGCCTCCACTGTCACAGTGAGTTCAGCAGAAAGAACCCCTCGGACCACCCACCTCCTGCAGCTCGGCCACGACCCTGCACAGAGGCTGATTTGTGGAATGGGGGGGTCTCTGCACCCCCGAGTCCTTCCCAGAGGAGTCCGCTGTGGAGACACTGACAACACACGTAGCTTTTTCCAAGTACAGCACAGAACCTTCTAGAAGTGGAGTATGTGTCCCCACAGCAGACCGCTCCCATCCACCCTCTCCCCCACCCTGGGGCTCCACAGGCTGCTCTGGGAAGGGCCACAAGCTGTTCCTACAGTCCCAGCTCTGGGACACTGGGGCAGGACCAGGTCAGGAGGTTAACACCTCAGGGTCTCCAGCCAAAGTGGTTGTACTTTCCTCTAGATTTACCTCCAAAACCAGAAACTGTTAGTTCTAAGCAACAGGGGACGGGAGGGATGAGCACCTCCACCCCCAGGTGGGGGGAAGGGGGGGTCTAGGCACCAGACACCCTGCCGCCTGCACCCAAGAGGAACTGACCTACATGGAGCGAGAACATCCTTCGCCAGATCTGCAAACACGGACAAGGGCCTGCCAGCCTGGGCTCCAGAGCCGCACGGCCAACAGGGTCCCGTCCGGGAACAACACGGCCCGGCTGCTGGACAGATGAGGGTTCTAACGTGGGGTGTTTGCATTTCAGAGCAGGGCCCTCCCCTCTCCTCCCGCAAGCTGGGTGGCCACACAGGCCAGCCCATCCTGCAGGCACAGCCCCAGGAGAAGCGGGCGCTGCTATCTCCTGTGCCAGGAAGCCTCCAGCCTCTGCTCTGGGGTGCACATGTGTGCCCCGCCCCCAGCCCCAAGTTCTCCCCTCCCCCTTGACCCCAAAGGTGAGCCTGACCCCGCCTCCTGCCTGCAGGTACACTCGGAGCCCGGGAACAGGGTCACACACCTTCCACGGCATGCAGAGCCGTGTCTCCCTCCCTCTTCTCCCATGGCCTCCCAGCCGAGGCCACAACAAATAAGGCCTCCCATGGCCTGAATTTGTACACAAGGAAGCAGGAGTCGAGAGGAACACACCTGGGGACACAGGGCCCCTCCTGAAGGAGCATCGGCTCCTCTGCACCCACAGGGACACATACGCCAGAGGAATCCAAACGGCACCCGCGGGAGAGCGGTATCCACATCAGGGAGCAGCCAGGAGGTGCAACGTTCTAACAGACAGTGGGGTGCAGACAAGGACCAGACGCATCACCGGGGATGCGCTCCAGAACCCGAGAGGCTTCCCACCCAGGGACCTCGGGCCTGGGAATCTGCATTTCTGTTGGGCCCCCAGGAGCCCCGCTCAGAGAGCCACTGCGGCCCAGAGCCGAGTGCCTGGGTGCAACTTGTAAAGACAAAAAAGAGCACAACAGTATTGGCCAAGCAGCCACAGATCCAGGAAGAGAAATGTGGCCGTATCTGCTCTCCCAAAAACATAACGGAGGGAATTCTTCAGGCCTCTGTGAACCCAGATGCTCATGGGGAATACCATTTTTAAAACACAGTGTCCAGGGGTGCCAAGGGGGCTGGGTCAGTTCAGCATCCGACTTCGACTCAGGTCATGATCTCATGGCTGATGAGTTTGAGCCCCGCATTGGGCTCTGTGCTGACAGCTCAGAGCTTGGAACCTGCTTCAGATTCTGCGTCTCCCTCTCTCTCTGCCCCTCCCCCACTTGAATGCACACTCTCTCTCAAAAATAAACATTAAAAATGTTTTAAATGACAATAGTATCTAACCTCGGTGCCAAAAAGGGAGAGTTGAGCACGAGCACATATGCACACAGGGTCGCGCATGCACACATACACACACAGGGGAGAAGTAGCGGAGCCCTCTGAGAGAAAATGAAGAAAATATGACTCTTTGGACCCCAGAACAACAATTCTCTCCCGTACAGGGGAGAGAATGTGCACAAAGAGCAGACCAGGGACAATAGAGCGCTCGCCAGGCTCGTGGGACTGGGCGGCCTCCACCATTCTGCAGATTCCCCGCGGAAGAACGTCAGCCCTGAGCCTCCGTGAGGCTGAGCTCCAGGAAGGGCAGCAAATGTATGAGAAGAAATGAAAATAGACAAACAGAGCGAGCAAAAGGAGATATCAGAAAACAGAAAACAGGAGGAAAAGCAAAGGAAAGGTGCAGAACCACACGGAACGACCCCAAATGCTGCTTTTTCCAGGACGTCGGGGGCCTGGGACCTGGCAGGGGGGCCACGTTGGGATCCTGTGGGGGCCACAACCCTGTGGTCAAGCACCTTGGAAGCGGTCACGAGGCTGTCGGCTTGTGGGGGTGACACCCACCTAGAGGAATACCAGGGCATAGCCCCCAAGGACGCACGATGGTACACACATGTGTTCGTGCATGTGTACAAAGACACTCGCATGCACATGCATACTTCCACACACACATATGCACGCATCCATATGTATACACACACGCACACACCAACACACATCTGCATACATGCACATACATACGCACGTGCACACACTCATACCAACACACATCTGCATACATGCACATACATACGCACGTGCACACACTCATACTCATATCCAACTTTGCATATACATATATCTGTGTACACAGATATTGTTATACACAAATAAACACTTATACTCACATCCACGCACGTACACATATACACAAATATATGCACATGTGTGCACACACTTATACACATCTGCATGTTTTCACACACATACATCTGTGTACACAGACATATACACACAGAATACACACGTGTGTGCACACATTTATATGTACACACGCCCACATATGCACACATCCACACGTATGCAGGCACATGTACACATGTCCCCTCTTACCCATATACACACATGCACATGCATGTACAAAAACCTAGGCATGCACAGAGTCCACACAAAAGCAAATCCACACACATGTAGACAGACATGTATACACACATACACTTCCGTGCATGCTCCACATGTCCATACCCACATGTACAGACACATCCAAACGCATACAGGTGACACACATGTGCATGCATGTCACACATGTGCATGTATGTATACGCACAGATGTTTACCTCCAACAGACAAGCCCACCCGCAGACACACACACACGATCTAAACACATGTACGTTATCTACTTCTAAACCGCACCCTACCTTCATTGTAAACACTAGGTAGCATTATAGTATCTATAAATAAACACATGTGTGTGCAGGCTTTAAACGTGCAGCCAGGACTCCACACCTCCTATGTGCAAAAAGGCAGGCTCATGTGTACCAGGCAAGCCCACCTGCCACACCCACGACAATGAGGCTGAGCCCCCGACACTCCGGTGAGGCAGAGTCTGGGGTCTCCCCTGTGAGGGCCTCACCGACCACCCCACGGGCCCCAGGACAGCAGCAGACCAGGAGACAGCACTGAGAGAGACCAGCCCGGGGACACGTGGCTGACGGTGGCTCCAGGTGGTGGGACCAGTCTGGCTCACCCACCACCTATGCCCCTCAGACTGGCGTGGAGGATCCCGGTGCCCCCCAGGCTGTGGCAGGAGACGGGCAGGGTGCCCCCCAGGCTCACGGCTGAGCTGCTAGCACAGGGCCACCGTGACGGCACTCTTAGAGCACTGGAGGCTCTGTGGGTCGCGCCGGCCAGCGGGTCAAGGCCCACCACACTGGCACTAAGGCCCTGCCTCGTACCCCCCAGCTCTGGGAAGCTGACTGCAGCTGGATCCCACCCCAACAGCCCCCCCAAGCAACAACTACACCACCACCCGTGCTCCTTAGCATCTCAGCCCCCTTTAGGGCGACAGGCCCACTGGACCAGCTCTGCGGCTCTCCCTGACACCCCAGCCCCACCCCGTCACCTGGGCGCATCTGTCTCACCAATGGGGAAACTGAGGCTGGGGACCACAGAGGGTGGCAGATCTCCACCCCCACGTCTAGGGAGCCCCCACTGCTACAGACTTGTCTCCTCGGACTTGCTGAGGGACCAACCTGGGCCTGAGGTCCCTAACCACCCCCACCCCATGGTCTGTACTCCCCGCGCTGTGCCCCCTCACCCTGTCCTATTCATACACCCAGCTCCGTGCTCCCTGGCCAGGTCCCTCACCCCGATCTCCCCACTCCATGCCCCTCCCCACAGCTGTGCTCCCCACTCTGTGCTCCCTGGCCAGGTCCCTCACCCCGATCTCCCCACTCCATGCTCCTCCCCACACCTGTGCTCCCCATTCTGTGCCCCTCACCCTGCCCTATACTCCCCTCTCCATGCTTCTTCCCCACCCTGTGTTCCCCTCTCTGTGCCCTGGTCCCCCACTTTGTCCTCCCCACTCTGTGCTCCCTGTCCCAGGTTCCTCACTCTGTGCTCCCCTCTCCGTGCCCCACCTCCCCACCCCGTGCTCCCTGCTCCAGGTCCCCCCCCACCACCTTGCCTGCTGTGCCCTTGCAGACGAGATCCCCACCGCACTGACCTGCTTCTCGTTCTCGTCCTCCAGCCTCAGCCGATCTTCGATGCAGTTCCGTGCCTGCAGGAAGGCTTTCCGCTGGGAGCGCTCGGCCAGGACCCGCACAAAGACGCCGTACATGTTCACACTGAGGAAGAGCAGGGCATTGGCACCAAGCTGGAGGGGAAAGAACAGTACAGAGCACCATGCGCGTGGGGCACTAGCTCAACAAACTAGCTCACTCCTCGACGCCCCCTGACAGCCGGCACGCAGATGACCGCGCTGCCCGGGGCACTGCGTGGGCGGGCCTGACCCACAGCACCAAGCGGGCACCACACGGCCACGAGCCATCAAGGCCGGCACATCCTGCCTTCTGGGCTTGTCACGGGGCAGAACAGTGTGCCAGGTGTGTCCCCCAAATGCACATGAAAGCCCTGTCCCCCAGGACCCCAGAGCGGGACGGCATTAGGACATGAGGTCTTCTAGGAGGTAATTACGTGGGAATGAGGTCACTAGGGAGGGGGAAAGCCCACGTGACTGGCGTCCTCACAAGAGGAGACCAGGACACAGACACGCGGTGAGGGACGACCCTGTGAGGGCCGGGGAGGAGACGGTGTCCAAGCCATGGGCTGGGCCGTGCTGGGCATGATGGCCGCCCTAGGTCACCCTCCGAGGAAATAGGAGCGTGAGGAGACAGCAGCCGCTCAACGACGGAGCAGCAGAGGAGGGTGATCAAAACCAAGAGGAAGAAAGGACCACGTCACCGGTGATCACGAGGCGTCACCGGAGGTGAGTGAGCATCCAGAGCCCCGTGCTCGGCCCTCGCGGCCTTCCAGGGATGGGAATGAGGAGGGGCCGGCTAGGAGGACCCATCCGGGGCACTGCCCAAGGCCCACACTTGGAGGTTCGCACCTTCTGGAGCAGGGAAGAGGCCTTGAGGGACATCCTGCTTTCAGCAGCCCTAACTCAAGGCCGGTCCAGACCACCCGGGAAGCCACGGTGGCCATGCCACAGGTCGTTGCAGCCCCGGGGAGGATTGGACCCCACCTCCCCGCTCAGCCTCCTCTGCTGGTCTGTCCCACCTCGCTTGGGCACAGGGCACGCTCACAGAGAGAGGAGCCCACCTGCCTCACAAAGGGCCACAGGGTGTCTGGGAGTCACACGAAGCCGCAAAGAGGTTGGGTTTCTGTGTCTGAGGCGACGGGGGCATTTCCCGCAGGTTCTGAGGGTCACTGTGGCTTCTGAACCAAACGGAAATACGTCCACCTAGCACTGTGACCCGTGCATGGCTGCTCGGGACAAAAGAAACACGGGGCGGTTGGGGGGGGGGCAGTCTCTGCAAAGACGGCCCTGCCAGGGTGGAGCGGGAGGATGCGGGAGGGCAGGCCGCAAGCTGCGTGGATGGAGAGCCCGCAGCCCTGGTTGGGGTTGGAGCGGGCCAGGGTGCAGCCCAGGGACCATGCAGGGACAGACTGGGGCCCACCGAGGGCATGTGGCACCTCCTATGTCCAAGCCCAGGAGAGCGTGACTCGTCCCTCAGGAAGGACATGCGGGGCCGGGGTGGCAGACGGCAGAGTTGTTCAAGGAGATGACGGGGATGTGAGAAAGCTGGGCACATGGATCCCCAGGGCCTGGCACACAACCGTCCTCCCCCAAAACCGGGGTGAGCTCGCCTGCATGCCCAGCAGCCCAACTCACGTACACCTGCCGGAGTTCACGGCTCAACACACTCGGGAATGTACCTGCGACAGCGCCTCCCACACACCGCGCTGTCCCCGTGAGGGTCAGGGAGCCGCCTGAGTCCTATAAACACGGTGCCCACGGTGACCTGTCATCTCTGTGTGTCCCTGCTCACACCCATGTGACTCACTCACCTCCCTAACACCTGCTCACCTCCCTGTGCCCTGCCTCCCTGTGACCTGATGGTCTCTATGTGATGGGCCATCTCCTGTTTCTCTAAAGCCACTGATCCACCAGAGCTGGAGCACTCCTTGCCTGAAGCCGGTGTGGGGCTGGAAGAAAATGCTTCTGTGGTGCTGAACCAGCCTCTCACCAGGCACGGGGCAGGGGCTGGTGCAGCCCTCCCGGGGGCACTGTGCCGTGTCCCGGTGACCAGGGCAGTGTCCTCTATGCTCTCAGACTATCTGCCCTGTTTGTGGATCACCTCCCGTGAGCTGTTTGTGGAGCGTCAGAGGCAGCAGGAAGCCTGGCATGTATGAAACAACTGAGGGCGGGTTTGCAGAATCAGTATTTAAACACGATCTGAGCATGGTGCCCACAAGCACGGTCCTGGGCACTTTTCCAAACTTCAAACAAGCACGCGTCACTGCACAGAGCACGCGGCTCCTCCTGGGTGATACCCAGTCCGTCTGGCTTCTAGCGCCCCTCCCAGCCTGGGCTTCATGTCCCAGAGGCACGTGGGACACCGTCCCACCCCAGCCGGCCACAGTATCCACTCTGGAGCCCCGGGCCATCCCTCTTCCCAGCAGGGACACAGGCGGAGGACAAGGCCTGCCTGGGGGGCCAGCACCCACAGACAGCCCTGCACTGGGGCCAGGACGCGAGTCACACTCACAGGCGGCAGACAAGGCTTTTCCAGAAAGTGAGGCATCAACTGGGCCCAGTGTATGACTCAGGAAATGTGGTGTCCCCCCAGTGAGGCTGGGGCAGGGGTGGGACACAGGCTGAGGGGCAGACACGTCTGGTCAGGGGAGAAGTCACAGCACAGTGGGGCACGCTGGGTCACCCCCTCCACACACCTTTATCACACCTTCCCTCAGGCCAAGACGGCCCCCCAGGGAAACTGAGACCCCAGGGGCTGGTCACTGAGTGCCTGCCTGCCCTGGCCACACTGCTGAAGCTGCCCACACAGAGAAGGAGCTGGTGTCCAGCACGTGGTGGGGGCAGAGGTCTTCCAGGTGGCTGGTCCCCCTGCCTGGTAGTTCACAGCCACACAGCCAGGGGCTTCCATGCCCCCCCCCCCGCCTGCCCACCTGTCGCTCCTGTGTCCCTCACCCACCCCCACCCCCAAGATCAGGGGCCTGTGGCAGGTGACACAACGGGCCATACTGGCCACCTACCCACACACCTGGCCTCAGCACATCTGCCCCACACACATGGCCTTTATGCACCCGCCCCACACAGGTGGGAGAAGATAAGGGTCTCCATGCTCAGCTCACACCTCACCTGGCCTCTCCACAATCCTGCCTGGCCTCCTTTATGGAGGTGAAATTGAGGCTAGGGCGTGGGCTGGCTCTCACAGCTGGGCAAGTGAGCAGACAAGGATCCATCTGGCCTGGGTTCAGACTCCTCACTGCGCTATCCTGCCACTTCCTGTTCCTAACTAACTCTCCAGACAGTCACAGGCCATGAAGTCAGAGGCCCAGGTTCAAACCCAGCTCCGCCTGCTGCCACAGGACCATGTCTTCACCTGCTGTGTCCTGACATGGGATAACATACCCCTATAACATCACCTTCTCTATTGTAATCAGGGTTCTACCAGCTGGAATCAAACCTACAGAGATACACCTCCTCATTCAAAACATCCCTTCACCCACCCTCCCATCCATCAACCTACCCATATACCCATCCATCCATCCACCCACCCATCCATCCACCCACCTACCCATCCATCCATCTACCCATCCATCTGTCCATCCATCCATCCATCAGCCCATCTATCCATACGTGCATATACACTCACACGCATCCATCCATCCACCTACTCATCTAGTCATTCCTCCAACCATTTATCCATCCATCCATATCACTCATCCATCTATCCATCATTTGTGCACCAATCCATCCATCACCACCCAGCCATCTATTAATCTACTCATTTATCCACACATCCATCCATCCATCCATCCATTCTTCATGTACCCATCTATCTATCCACCCATACGCCCCCCCACATCCATCCGTCTATATAATCCATCCATCTATCCATCATCATCCACCCACCCATCTATTCATCCATCTACCCATCATCCTCCCATCACCCACACCCATCCATCTACCCATCCATCCATCCATCTACCCATCTGTCCATCCATCCATCACCCATCCTTTCAACCATCCTCTGAAACACAGCATGAGCTGGGCCTCAGACCTGTGTCCCCTCCCTGCTGAGCTGGCAGGGCCTCCTTGCCTTAGACAGGCCAGCTGGCTGCAGGAATCCTGGGGGCCTCCTGGGACAACAGGGGTGACAGACACCTACATCAAAGCACTTCTGGGAGGTGAAAATGTGTGTGTGAGCTCTGGCTTGGGGGCACACATGGGCCACCCTGCTTCACACCAGCCCAGTCACACACATCTGCTACAAAGGAGACCATTGTCTCAGATGGGAGCTAAGGTCAGGGTCGGGGAATGGTTTGTCCTACGTGACACAGGAATTACTGCAGAGTGGCAGCGGTTCAGAGTCCTTGGTCCCGCCCGTGCAGGCACCACACTGACACTTCTGGGAACCATCTAGAACATGTGTGAAGTAGTAATGCACGTGGGTCATGGAGAAGCAGTCTCTGGTCAGGCAACCAGCATCAGTGCAAACGAGCAAACCTCCCAGAGCCATCAACCAGGGCACGTGCTCGCTGCAGAAAAAGCAACACACAACATCTCACACAGCATCTCAGGTCCTGAGCCCACCTGACCACAAAGCACGGGAACCACAGGGCCACAGCGGGCCATCTCCGCCCAGCATGCTGCCTCAGCAGGAAGTCCTGTTCCCGCTCAGTCAGCTCCACTGATGCTGATGCTGAACAAAGAGCCGCAGCCTTGGGTCACCAGCAGGGCTCCCAGGCTGCTGGTGGAAAGTGCTGAGCCCATGGCCAGAGCGGCGGGGAAAACCACTCAGGGCCCCTCCCGTGTGGCCAGGAGGGGTGGCAGTGGGTCAAAGCAGACCCCCACCCCGTAAACCCCAGCAGACAGCCAGTGGGACAGGTGCCTCGGGGAAAGGGACAGGATCACCTAGAGACAGGTGTGCACGGTTCCCAGGTAAGCAGCCGACCCCCCCCAACACACACACACACAGCGGGCACCATCAGACCTTCGAGAGGGAGGCTGTAGGGAGGGGAGGAGCTGTCCACTGCGTCAGACAGGCTCCTCCCGCCCTGGCAGTGACCAAGTGGAGGAGACAGGCTCTGAGTGGAGTCAGAGGTGGATTAAAAATGGACAGAACT